CAGTCTGTTAATAATGTATACAGCAGTTTGGACACAGTATCCCCAAAAATGAGTAGGAATGTTGGACTGAAATTTTAAAGCCCTAGCAACCTCTAAGATGTGCCTGTGCTTTCTCTCAACAATGCCATTTTGTTGAGGAGAATAAGCACATGAACTTTGATGAAGGATGCCTTGACTACTTAGGAGATCATGACAGGTTTTGTTAAAGAACTCTAAACCATTATCGGTTCTAATACACTTTGGGGTCAAACTATATTGTGTATGGACCATTCGAAGGAAATGTTTAATAGTAGAATAAGAGTCTGACTTGAATTGCATAAGAAATAACCAAGTAACCCTAGAGAAATCATCTGCTATAGTGAGAAAATATCTTGCGTTGCCATGTGTAGGTGTTTTGTAGGGACCCCATACATCCATGTGTAGTAAATCAAAATTTTTTGTGTTTGAGATGTACTATTTGGAAAAGGTATTCTAGTTTGTTTAGCTAGAGGGCAGATAGGACAATGTATATCTGTTTTAGACTTTGACAGACAAGGATGAATAAGGGGCAAAACAGAATAAGAAGCATGCCCTAACCTTTTATGCCATAACTCAAAATGATTAGATGATGATAACAAAAGTAAAGAAACAGGCATTTTATTCAAATTCATTTCAAGAGGTACAATCTGTGATGACTCTACAGTATGGCAAACAGCCTTATTTAACTGCCCTAAATCTGATACAAAAGAAGAAATTTTTGACTTTGAATCAAAAAAGTAAAGACCTTGCCTATGCTTACCAATCCCCTTCAATTTGCCATTGCAAAGATCCTAAATGAGGCAAAAATTAGGATAAAAAGTAACAAAACAATTGTTAGAGACTGAAAGTAAATTGTGATGGAAATCTGGAACATGCAGGACATTTGACAAGTGTAAAGTACTGTCCAGAACTACAGATCCTACGTGTTTAACATAACTCTTTGTTCCATTAGGTAACCCTACAAGGTATTTTGTAGAAGGTTCTATAGTAGTGGATGATTGTAAGATAGAATGGTCAAATGTCATATGATCAGATGCTCCAGTATCAATTATCCAGCAACTTTTATCAAGATAATACATCAGGGCAACAGAATTACCTGCTAGGTTTGCAGCTGGTGGAGAAACATTCTCCTTTCCTAGCAATTGAAGGATATGGTTGTATTGCTCAACAGTCAAAACAGGACCAACCATTGACTCTGAATTCCCAGTGTTTGATCCCAAATTTCCAGTATCCAATGGTTCCGAAGTGTGCACTTGATTAGCAGTGGCTTTTGACTTAGAGTTTCCTTTTCCTTTAGTAAATTGATAGTCAGGTGGATAACCATGTAGCTTGTAACAATTGTCACGTTTGTGTCCAGGAATATGGAAAAATTCACATTCAATATAAGGTTTTTTTCCCTTATATTTTTGGCCCTAACTCTGATTTTTTCCATTTCCAGTATGATTGGCATAAAGTGCAGTACTTATCTCTGGATTCAAACTCATTCCTGCCAATATTTTCTGGCTTTCATCTTGATTGACTACTTAATAAGCCTGTTTGACACTCGGTTAAGGGTTCATCAGCAAGATTTGGCTTCGAACCATTGAATAAGACTCGTTTAACCCCATTAAAAACTGCAATAGCTTCTGCTGATTTAAGTGCTCCAAATATGCCTTCGCTGAGACACTATCAGGTGTAGGGAGACTGACCAAAGAATCCAGTTCATCCCACAATGACTTGAGCTTGCTGTAGTAGCTAGCTACTGTATTAGTTCCTTGAGTCAGATTAGAAATTTCCCGATGTAATCCAAAAACTCTAGTCCCATTCACTTTGTTGTACTGCTCCTTCAAATCTTGCCAGACTTGTGCAGCACTCGTGGAGTAAACTATACCATTAAAGATCTCTTTTGAAACTGAATTAAAAATCCATGCAAGTACTAATGAGTTGCATCTCTCCCATTGTGGAACCAAGCTAGAATATACAGTCGATTTGTGCAAGTACCATTAACAAATCCGAGTTTGTTTTTCGCACAAAGAGAGACTGTCATGGCTCGACTCCAAATGTTGTAATTATCAGTTCCGATGAGTTGCTCAGAGACCAGTACAGAGCCTGGTGTATCCGATGGATGAACATACAAGGGCGAATTGGAATCAATCGTCTGAATAGTTACTTCTTCTGTCGATGTTGCCATATCAGTTAACCAATACCAAAATTTATTGTTCCAAAATCAAATTCAAGTAGAAATCAGCAAAGAATTCAGGTTGAATCAAACCTAAATCAAGATTTTGAGCTAAAACAAAAAACCTAAAATCCAAGATTTGGAACTAGAAATGAAAGAAGAAAATCAGATTTTAAGCTTGAGTGAGCTTGGCTGAAGTAAAGAGAAGCTTAGCTGAAGTATAGAGAGTTGATTCGATTTGACCCATTTCCCAGATTAAGAATGCTCTGATACCATGTTAATAAAGCAAGAAAGAAGAAGAAGACGAATTGTATTTTGGGAAAATGAAGTCTCACTTTACTAATGCATTACTGTTTCTTTATATACAATAGTCAACTTATGAGTTAACTAACTAAACAGCAGCAATAAAACTAACTCAACAACAGTTAATTAACAAAACAGAAACTTAAATTACATAAATGTCCTGTATAGCTAATAGTCTGAACAAGAATTGAAAACATTACCGGCTGCCAATGTCATCAATAAAGAAAATTCACTTGGAAGGATGGCGTAGGATTATAAGTTTTATTATAGGATTTTGATTCTCTTAGTATTGTTTTATTTAACTTTGTAACGTTAAATAAAACAATATTTAACTTTGTAACGTTAAATAAAACAATACTATCATGCTCGGAGCCTACATTGCATTTAATAAATCCAATAATATGACCAACCATCAATCAATTCAAGTTTTATTTCCCTCTTCACTTGACCAACTATATAAGAAGATACCATATAAATCCCTGTGTATTTTTCTTTTGCAGGTGATCAATTCAAATGGCTAGAGAGAGACTTGGCAAATTTTGACAGATCTATAACTCCATGGCCGATAGCTGCTTGGCATTCACCTTGGTACAGTTCTTACATAGCTCATTACAGAGAAGCAGAGTGTATGAGAGTGGAGATGGAGGAATTACTTTACTCATACGGTGTTGACATTGTTTTCAGTGGACATGTAAGTCAGGATAACTTAGAATAATGGAAATTTTAGGCAAAACATGTGAATGAAACTACTTCCAGTATATTTTTTAGCATTTAAGAAAAGGCAATTTTCCGTTTGCACTGAACATCACCACAAAGGAAAATAAACATTGAAAGAGGGTTTGGATGCTATGGAGCACTTAATCAATTGAAACATTCTTATACAACCTTATATTTAATTAACCCCTACATTGCTATGGCAGAACACTTCTATTTATCAATCACACAAACCAATCCCACCAAATTGACTGGATTTCAACTCAACTCCATTCAACATTCATCCAACAAAAAAAAAATTGAAAAACGAAAGTGTTTAATTACCAATGGCAGATGAGGAAGACGAAGAACAAGCGCAGAAGAGGAACACGAACAACAAGAGCGCGAAGACGAAGAACAACCAATAACGCAGATGGAAGACGAAGAAGATGGTAATGGTTTTGCGTTTTAATTTTAGAAACTTCCCCAAAAAAAATTAACCGAATACGTAACTTTTTCTTATTTTATTTTAATTACAGTAAAGGATGGTCGTCCGTAAGTGATGGACACCCGTCCATCACTTACGGACAGCCGTCCATAAATAATGGACGAGCATCCATTCCTTACAAAAGTCTGTCCAAAAGTAAGGGACGACCGTCCACAATTTATGGACAGTCATCCAAATTTTTTCTTTAGTTTTTAAAAACCAAAATAATGGAGGGGCGTCCATTTCTTACGGACGTCCGTCCAAAAGTAAGGGACGGCTATCCCCAAAGTTTTTTTTTTTAATTTTCATATTTTGGTTAAGGACGGGCATCCCTTATTTCCGGGCGCCCGTCCAAAATGAATGGACGGCCGTCCATAACGGATGAACGGCCGTCCATAAATGTTTTTTAATTTTTTTTTTTAAATTGCTAATGGACGGACGTCCATTAAAATATGAATGCCCGTCCAATATTTAGGGACAGCCGTCCATAACCTATGAACGGCCGTCCCAAATTTTAACAAATTTTTTTTAATCCATTTTACTTATGGATGGGCGTCCTTTAAATGGGGACGCCCGTCCATAGCAAAAGGACCCCCGTCCATATAATATGGACGGGAGTCCATGTAAGTGAACGGCCGTCCATATTTGATGGACGACCGTTCACTAGAAAAATATTTATTGTTTAATAACACGTCTAGATTGCTAGCAACAACTGGTGTGAGTTAGGGGTACACGTAGGCCGGTACACATTTTCGGTGCAAAAGTGCCGGTGTCCGTAGCTTTGTTGTTTCACCAATTAATGCCGCCATGTTACTTTGTTTAACGTTATTACTTATTACACACAATCATTTGGCTTGCCGGATGACAACCTTAAGTTATTTAGCAACTTAAGTTCGGTCCCGATAGACTTAGTTAAGGTGTATGTAAACTAACCCGAACACTTTTAATAAAAACGTTATTATACGTTAATTTATAATGTCTTAAATTTGTTTTAATAAGTAGAATGAATGTTACAATTGTTTTATTCAAATAAAGGAATTGTAGGTCACAAACCCAAAGTTATGAGCACTTTTGTGCAATTTTGAAGAGTTCAGTTCTTAAACAATTAAATATTTTTTTATAAGAAAAATAATACCACATATTCATATATATACGTTTAAGAGATTAATCATATAACATTTAAACAACAAACAGAGAAAATAACTAAAAGATTTTTTTCTGGACAAATGAATAAATGATGTGACTTGATCTTCCTCACAAGAAAACTTTTTAGTCCAATATAAACCTAAAACAATTTCATAGTTCCTATATATACACACATTAATCTTTGTTTGAAATTATTATTATTTTTTTAACAAAAATCAGGAAAGAAGAAATCTAGGTGACTGAATGCTCTGTAGCGTCTTGTCCTTTTTTGACTTCAGCAGGAGGCAGAAAGGTTTCGTAGGTTAATCCACATATGTTGAAATCAATATCTTCAATCCGCCAAGTCTCTTCAATCTTCCTCTTATGATTATGTGCCCCTCCATACCTGTAAAGTGTGGTAACAGTCTTTCCCGTATGTGCTATATTGAGGGAATCAACATATCTATAATCATCAATGGTAGATGCCATGCTCGTCTCCCAAAACACATTATCATTTCCTTTAACGGTCTTCATTCTCACTAATTTTGTATCCTCGAATTTAATCAGCAGTCCAGTTCTTTGGCTGAAGTAACCCCATACAGTGTGATGGACGATTTCAGTGTTAGCTGAATTTTGCGCTTTCAGAACGTTAGGAGCAGACTCCAGTTTCAGTACGAAACAAGCTTCATTATCGATCGTCTCCTCTCCAATGCATACCGCATCTAAGAATAAGTTAGCCGTGCACCTGGGGTCCAATCCCTGAATATAAATAACATGGTAATTAGTTTAATTGAATGTTAATTAAACGCAACGAACCAGAATCGTGGAAAACGCATCACTGAATAACTGTAACATGAATTTCTATGCCTATTCAATTCATATTGAGTTTAGAAATTGACAAAAGAAAGTATATAATAAGTAGTTGACCTGAAAGAAGCGGCGTAGGGGTCGAGCGGGGCCCCGATGAGCGTGATTGGGTTGAGAAGAGGATTGATTCCATGCAACCTTGCCATTACTACCTGCACTTACCTTAAAACCGGCAACAACAAGTTCAAGGCACCACAGGTCGGGGTTTTTTTGCCATAGCACAAATCCACCAGCCTCACAATTGCCTCTTGCGTGCACACTATCATCACCCTGTTGCATTTCTGATCCTTGCATCTTCACCTGCCCCACAGCATACATGCTATTCACCGTGTTATATGCCGCCTGTCCTCCTGTTGCCGCAACATATTGTTGTACAATATATTTTGCCGTTGACGCTTCCTGTTTGTATGCAACATCACAAGTTTTGTTATCAACAAATTAAAACAATAGATTGCTGTGTGGTTTTAGTTGGAAAAAGTATTTTATTTGATTGTTTAACTCTTGAGAGGAAGATAAATAAGGGAACTCACAATGCTAGAATCTTTAATGGGGCGGCTGAAGGGGCTATCCAATTGAACCTGAAAAGAGATGAGAGGAGAGCCAACAAGTTTGAGCAATGCCATAAACTCATTGTTTGATTTGGCCTGGAGGTATGACGACCTATCAGAATAATGGGATTGAGCTTTCATCAATTGACGTAAATTAGACCAACGTAAAGCGGCGGTGCTGCCCATTTTGATAAACATTTCTTCAGGAATAGGCACCTCCAGGACTGTATCGAGTCCATCTTCCTTATCATAATTAGGACAAAGCGTCCTCATATATTGAAAACAAACGAACAAAGTTTATTATAATAAAAGAATTAAGAAAGAGGAAAGAGGATTCCCAGAGAGAAAGTGGAAACCTTCCTCTTTCTGTGAAGTGGTGGTGATTTTGTTTTTGTGTGGAAATACTGCATTGGCAATGAGACGGAAGGTTGATGAATTTTGTCTCTAAAGGTGCTCCTTACGCGTAGGTTTAGGTGGGAGGTGTCGTGAGGGTACGATTTTAGCGGTATAATTTTATCAGTTTAATTTTAGGACACAGCCTAAACTATGCAGTAGCCACCAAGGGCCCTTGGATATACTCTATTTTTACTTTGTAACCAATTGTGGGATGACATGTCATATATTGAAGGTTCTCTATCATAGGATATCTATTTTGTTTTGAATTAGAATGTGAGTTGCTTTCGTGGATGTGGCAACCCACAATTGGGATTAAATATCATTGAAGTAATATCTAGTTTTTCAGTGCTTGACTTTCTGGACTTTGGATTGACTACCAACCAACATTTATCAAGATCTCATTCTTCTTTTGTAATTATCTTTATCTTGATCCACCCAATCTAGCCGGCCACAATTTTTATTTCTTCTAAAGAAAAATGTGTTTGTGTTATAAATGACCCAATATGTTATTGTCCGCTTTGACACTATGGGTCTTACAGTTTTGTTGTTGGACTTCAGGCCCAAAATATGTCATATTGGGTGAAAGTCTATAACCTCATATATACACGTACACGCACCCTCTCTCACACAAAATCGATGGGGGACTTCACAGCACACCATTTATCATGATTGTACTAATAATGTGTTATAAATGGTCTAACATGATATTATCCATTTTGGTACTACAAGGTCTTATGGTTTTGTTTTTTGGCTTTAGACCCAAAACACGTCATGTTGGGTTAAGGCTATAACCACGTATATACATGCCTCTCTCACAATGAGGGCTTCACAACAGTTTCTGAGTTAAGTCGCAGCGGAAATAGCTTCGGGTTCCCTAATAGGCCCAATTGATGTGAAAAACTGGACCATTCTATTCTATGGACTAATCAGGAACCCAAAAGCGAGATATATTGCTAAACAAACCTATGATCAAGTAGAATGAGCTGGTTTAGGCCAGTTGAACCCCAAAATTTTCAACTTTCTGAGGCCCATTTACCCAGAATTCCAGCTAGGATGGTGCCGTTGGTGAAGACTGAAGAAGTCAAACGGTTGCTTATTCTTTGCAGAATTTAATGTTTTGTTTCTAAGTGATTGTTTTCTTGTCTACCTATGATGCTGCGACACATATGGACTGCTGCGTCCTGATGTTGACCTGAGTTTTTGTCTTCTTTTTCACATGAGAGATTGATTGAAAACGAGATATGAATTTTAAGATTTATAGCAAAAATTGAAAATGTTTTTCAGCAAGCTGTGAACGCGCCCGGAATTGGTCAATGCACGCCTGGAGACAACCTTCTTCCGTTTCACTTGACGGCATTTCCGGGTTTTTTTTTTTTCTTTCCATAATTGTATCCAAGTTTTTGATTAGGTCTTATATTATAATAAGGAAGTCAAATTTTCAAGGTTTGTCATGTTTCGTAACTATGATCCAAATTGACACACGAATTGATGATTCGTTATACAGAGTGAGGGTTAGATTTGTTGCATTCATTACTGTTTAGTCCTTGGAGTTCCATTGAAGAATTTCCAAGTTTAAGATGGGTATATATAGTATTTCAAAATTTATGATCATATATAATCTATATAGTCTAAATTAAGGCAATTACTAACATTTAACGTTGGGTCTGTGTTTTCGAAAATCCCACACTCAAAAGGATGAGTATTTATTTATTTTTAATCATTAAAGTAAACAAAAGCAAATTAATTGCCAATTTAACATTCACCTTATTTTAAATTAGTTTCTGGTGTTAATGAGAATCATTCAAAGTCACCTGAAAGCAACCGATTTATTCCCAACCACCTACTTGATGGACATTTTCGAACGCAACGCTCACAAGGGAATTTCCTGTACCTTTCAGTTTTAGGAATGAACATTTAACCGCATTCCTCACTTGGATTTGGTCATCATTGTTAAGAGGTCTGGATTGGACCCTTGCTAATGGCCGGCCGACCCTCCTCTCTTATATTTATTCATCTAACTTTAAACCCTGTAATTGTTGGGTGTTGTTGCACGCTGAAACTAGCCTTAATCAGATGGCTAAACGCCTCAAGCTAAAACTTTCTCGAGTCATTCCTTCACNTACTTGATGGACATTTTCGAACGCAACGCTCACAAGGGAATTTCCTGTACCTTTCAGTTTTAGGAATGAACATTTAACCGCATTCCTCACTTGGATTTGGTCATCATTGTTAAGAGGTCTGGATTGGACCCTTGCTAATGGCCGGCCGACCCTCCTCTCTTATATTTATTCATCTAACTTTAAACCCTGTAATTGTTGGGTGTTGTTGCACGCTGAAACTAGCCTTAATCAGATGGCTAAACGCCTCAAGCTAAAACTTTCTCGAGTCATTCCTTCACTTCAATTCTGTCGATCCAAACACCCTTCAACTTATGCGCAAACTCCATTGCCCGCACTGTACCGGCTATCTCCATTCAACCCCAAAACCTTTGATATCACTTACCCAATCCTCCCCGCACCTCCACCGTCAACACCGGAGGACCCTTTCGTCAAGCGCCACGTGTTACCCAAGGCCGTATCACTCGGTTGTGGCTGCTTATCAGGCTCATGCACCCCGGACCTAAACGTATACTCTAAACTCCATGAAACAAAGCATTCTACAGATATATACGACGCGTCAAGCGGCAGCAGTGTATCACCGGTTTGGGTGAACGAAAAGTTCAAGAAGAAACTAAGAAACAAAAAGGAGAAAAAAACAAAGGCAACTGTTCCTTCACGTGACAGTGGCTTTTTCAGTAGCCAAGAAGAAGACGAATATAAAGAAACCGACACCCTTATTTCTACTTCAAGAAGCTTTTCCAACGACAGTTCCTTTGAATGGGATAATTCTCTGGAGAGCACAACTTATGAATTTTACAACAGTGAAGAAAATACCAAACGAACGAAGAAGAAAGTAAATACAAATATAAAGAAGATTCGAAGACTGCGACGCTACGCTTCAAAGAATTATTATAAAGGATCGTTGTCGCCAGACAAGTCCTCGATTTTGAAGAGGATGATACCGTGCTCGGTGGAAGGGAAGGTGAGAGAGAGCGTGGCAGTGGTAAAGAAATCGGAGGACCCATATGAAGATTTTAAGAGGTCGATGTTGGAAATGATATTGGAGAAGGAGATGTTTGAGGCTAAAGACTTAGAGGAACTTTTACAGTGTTTTCTGTCTTTGAATTCGAGGCAGTATCACAGGACCATTGTGGATGCATTTTCCTACATTTGGGGAGTTTTGTTCAGCGATTGTTCTGTGCAGGGCCAGCAAATCAGCAAGCTGGTTTAAAGCTTAATCAAGAAGGTCAAACAGATATTATTAATTCGTTATTATTTTTTATTTCTTGAGGTCGAGTAGGATTAGATGATCTGCGCTACTGTTTCATACTTTGATTAGCTTGTAATTTCAGCAATATTAGCCTGCAAAATAAAGCTACTGTATAATTACTTTGTGCTGTATATTCTATGGTTAAGTGAGCATTTAGTTTTTAATAAATAAGAAAAAAAATTGAATATGATTCATTCATGGAGACACTAGAAGAGAATCATGAATAGACAGTCAAGGGAACAGAAACGGAAAATCTAACAAGGTTTGTCAATTGTCTCTAATATATAGTTACATTAAAAATCATATCATGTTAATCAATTGTTAAAACTAATATATCAAATGAACATCCTGACTCACGTGGAATATGACGTGGTCGGGATGGAGACTACCCACGTCACACTTCACATCAATCAGGATGTTCATTTGGTATACAAAATCGGTAAGTTTATAATTTCTCCTATGCTTATAATAAGCATTTAGACTCAGATTATTACTGTATCTTCTTTTCTTCAGAGAATGATGGATGGAAGATAAAGATATTCTACATTCCAATTACGTTGAAAATGATCTAGAAATACAAGTTAAATGTGAGGTTCTACTTTTGTTTAATTATACCCCGTGTATTATCAATTAACAACCTATTAATCTATTATCCGCCAACCTACCTCTTCAACTTAGTGGAATCATTAATACTTCTTGACTTTGTCCATTTATTCTTGGTTGGTAAACTTTATTGTATATTTTAACAAAATTTACTGTTGTCCACAAAAAATAGGGATTTCATTTGGCGTGAGATATTCCAAAGGTAGTAATAGAGTTTAAAGGCAAACTATTGTTTTCTAAACTATATTCGGTCATCTGAACCAATCCAACAGAACCTACTCAATAAATAAAAAAATATGAGAATGAGAATACATAAAAGGTTTTTCAATTTCAGCCAACCAACAAGTTCAGGTTATTGGGGAAATGCCAACATCGAAAACAAATAATTGCAATAAATATCTCAGGGGAATACGCTTGTTCTGGGTAGGGAACTTTGTGCTCCGCTCTGCAGTCTGCAACTCAGGGAAGAAGTTATCAGTGATCTTAATGACCTGGCGGCAAGGAGGGAACTTATATGTGAAGTAAAACTGTAGAAGTTATGCCTCCGTGACTTCAGCAACTTCCCAACTTGTATGTAAGTGCATCAAACTGGGTATAAGCTGTAAAAGGAGCTATGTACAAGAAGCGAGTCCATTTACACAGCTATTTCTCTATATCAGTACACTCCAGCTGAGAAGTCATGTCATCCTTAAAAACCTTGACATGGCAAAGCTTTCCACCTGCCTCATCAGCAAAAGTAATCTTCCTCTCCTTGTTGACTACATTTCCAGAAGCACCACTTCCTGCCTCAGTCAGTTTCTGCTATTCATCAACAAAAGAATGTTAGAAATTATCACCCAAGTAAATCAACACACTTTTTTCACAAAAACAAAATCAGAAACTAACCATGATTTTACAAAACCGGGTGCAGTCCCTAGCCATCATAGAAAGCCATTTTCTAGCAGTTTCTTCTGTTTTATTAGCACTCTTAACGGCCATTGCAACCTGCTAAGCCCAGGATATTTAGAAAATTAAGTTTAGACATCAACCTAGATCCTTAAGGATGTCTACAAAGAAAATAATGTCACTAATATGCCAGCAGGTTTGTACATTGATATACCTCGTCCATATTATGTTTCAGTGATGTACCGGGACAAGCTTCGGAATACAGCATTTCCTTCACAATGTCCTTCATGTAGCTCAACTCTGATGTCAATTTAGTTGCAAGAGATTCAATATCCTGCATCTGCCGTTGTGAGAATGCAATGGCACTCTGTGATAACCTCTGTCTGGAAGTGCACCCAGTGCTAAAACCTGATACAGCATTAGAAAGATGAGGACCTTTGAGAATGCCCTTGGGATGGGACACTTTCTTATCATATTTAGGCTTCCTAAGGACTTGCTTCGTGTTGATAGTGACTCCAGCAATCGTTGTCTTATTGCATCCTTCAGCTCTAATGACATTATTGTCAGCTTGTTTCTCAAACAACAATTTCCCTCTACATTCTGAAATTATCACCACCATATGAAAATAAATTAGACAGAGAATGAGAAAACATCAACGTCATGGGTCTGAAGGCAAACAAGAATGAAAAAGTTAATCTTGAATTCACAATATTTGAATGCTTAAGAAATATAAGAAATATAAGTAAAACACAAACTGGAAATGTCAGAATCCACAACTAAAGTCATTTCTTTTTATCCTTGTAATGAGATGAGGTCATCTAATCCAAACCACTTTTTATCCTTTTTAAATTGTAGTCTGTTTTCTGACCAAACTAAGTGTGAATCTCATCCAAAGCACTTTACAGGCAGGCCACCTATTGGGTGAAACAATGAGGTCTAGTCTAAATCTATTAGTTTATATATTTACCAGAATGTTTGTCATCCTCTAAATCAATGGAATTCATAGCCTTGCATAGCCTTTCCTGAGAAGTAGGAGAAATAGCCTGAAAGTGAAATTACTTAAATAAGAAACTATTTCCACAAAACTCAAAAGAAATCAAATATATATCCAATAGAATATTACAGACCTTTCTGTTTGAAAGGAGCCTTTCAGGAGGACACTGCACTTTTGGATGATGATTATCTCCTAAACCTGATGGTGTTGTAAGCACATCAGTAGCATCAAAGGGATGTAGTGCTCCAGAGCAATTACTTGCTGCATCATCACAGGCAGACAAAGAGAGTTGCTTCCTCTCCCCCAAAGGTGAATCATCAGCCACAGAAACCAAACAACTACTAAGATCCATGCATGAATCGGAACTCCAAGATGAGTTAGGGTCACTAGCAGGGCTAATAGTGCCTGCTTCAACATCAGAAGGCAATTCATCTCTTCTACCCTCCTCAAAAAGATATGCACCATCAACATCAATGATTTCCATACACTGAAGTCTACTATCAATTGCCATATCAAGCATTTGAACATGGCTATCACTGCTACTTGGCCATGACGGCTGATGGACTGAGGAATGACTTTGAGAGTCATGATATATATCAAAGTTGTGATCATTCAACATCGAGATTGGTTCTGGAGAGACATTGTCAAGAGCTGGCCGGATAATATATCCTTCATTCACAAATTCTCTTACTGGAAAACCTGGACACTGGTAACTGATTATTTGTGGAATATCTACATTCATGATCTCCCAACCAGAGACCCTTATATCAGAAACAGACATGGGATTAGCAAACTCAATATACTCATAGGATTCTTCATTTACCACACAAGGCTGCTCATTTCTTAAAGATGTTGACACATCAGTATCCTGAACACATTCACTAGCTGTCACATGTGCTTCATCGATTACCACTCCACAAGAATCCACTTGCTCATTACAATTGTGAGAAGAATCAGCAGCACCACAAATCATGGTTTGGCAATTGAAGTTATCAGGCTCATCAAGCTCAATCTTAATGTCAATAAACGCAGGTTTATAGCCACTAGGATGCCAGAAACTTTCATCAGTCAGCACCTTCTCGGGTTTAGTTGTGGCACTTTGAGATGAAGTAGATACATGACTTCCAATGCACTTCCTCCTTCGCTTCTTGTTTTTTGTAATTTTAGATTTCCAGCTACTGAGAAGCTCCTCAAGGTCATCGCCATCACTTTCAAGCTCAAAGTTCATATATTCTTGTTTTGGAGGGAAAGAATTCTCAAAAGCTTCTTCACTCGAATCAACATGTTTCGGACATTTCCTCTTCCTTGCTTTGCAGCTCTCCTTAAACTGTTTCAGGGTCATATTAACAAGGCTAAGATCATCCAAGTCAGTTTCACTTTCTTCATCACCACTGCTGGGATTAAACTCAGAAGTATCAACTCTGATTGTTCTTCTCTTTGCCCTAGGTAGGCAAGGACTTTCAGAGTTGACCATGTTAGGGTTGACTTGAGAACATTCAGATTCATCTTCTTGCCGGATTGAATCATGATGTTCAGCACCTGCTGTTTCATATATTTCTTTGACTTCCTTAAAGTTGAGTGCAGGCCTCCCACGACTCACATTCAAGGTTTTTATTACCAGACTACCTTTAATAGCCTGGATATGATGCAAATGACTGTAGCTCCGTAACTCCATTAGATGAATGTGAAACTTTTGTCCTTGTTAACGCATACAGAATTGCAATGCTTTGTCCTGCAAAGTACAAAAACTTATAAAGAACTAATCACAGCATAAACGAAATTCCCTGACAGTGATAACGCAGATTCACAATAAATAAACAAGTTATTCAGGACTCCATATATGTGAACAGAAACTCAGAAAATTTTGGCTTTTTGCCGTACATGAATTAACAAGAAAGAGAAAAAGAAAATTCTAAATGTTGACAGGGATGTTCAAACCTATTAGTTAAAATTTTGAAAAACAGATAAAACCATCTCAGATGGTGAATTGACCAGTGTCAGAAGTTGGAAAATCAGAGATGCACAATATCATGGGACAGAGCTTAAACTTTGTATGTGTCATGTCATCCAATATTTTCCACGTCCTAAATTTCGAGTAACATCTCAGCGTGATATCACTAACATGATCTTTTTATTTTAGAAAATGCATCTGAGAGAATCCAGTCGGTCTCTATAAGAATCAAACATTCGAATTGGGGATCCAACCACATTCCGAACTTTAGATTTCGATTTAGTTGTTGCTATCAACTATCTATCTAATATAAAGGCCCGGACTCATAAATTCCTGGACACATTGTTCTAATAAAATAAATAAATGTAGTGTGCCACAGTAGGCGAACAACAGGTGACAAAATCAAGAACAAATCACGTCATATTGAGATCTCCACTGCAAAACCCTAAACCCAATATATAGAAGAATGATTAAAATTAAACTCATTGTTTTCAGATCTAACCTGAAGACAAAATCTATGAACTTCAACAGGGACCTAATCTTGGAATTAGCATTATATCATTTCTAAATAAAATTAAATTATAACTGCACAAACGTACCTATAATTGATGGCCAGATCCACCGAAAGAGAGTGAGGGAGATTTGGAGTTGGCGCTTCAACTGGGAGCTTTGGCAAGAAATGGATATAGAGAAAGCTAGGGCTAGCTCGTGAAATAAGAGAAAGTGGAATGTGAAGACCGCGCCAAATGGATTTGGCGGGAACTCTCGTGTTGTCCGAATAAATGATAGTAGAAACTTTTGGGTGATGTGTATGTGTACGGTGTTCAAAACTCGTTAGTGCATTGCTGTCGTTGATTGTGAGTGGGCTCAGCTAATCTGATTCGTTAGATTAAAACTGGCGCCAAATAGGCTGAAGTTTGAAGTGGATGCCAGTGGCACTGGATGATCTTACTGATCCCTACAGTGGGCCAAATTCGAAATTTATGCAATCAGATATCCTAATCCAACGGACTTGGTAAGCCCATTTAATTATTATGGGATTAATAAATTCAGTTTGTGATGTAATTATAAAATAGATGTAATTACCATTCACAACTTATTAATGCAATCTAATGATTTGATTTTTGTAAAAAACAATGTTATACTCACAATTAAGTTATACAACTGAGTCATACAAACAGACAAAAAACAAATAATAGAGTTATTATTTTACTTAATTTTTGTCTGTTTGTATGACTCAGTTGTAAACAAAACATTATTATTTTGTAAAAATCAAATAACCAGTTGACCCTAATCCTACCATTATATATTACAAGTGTTGTTTTCATCTTTGCTTTGACGACAAAGTACATCGGTTGGAGATTTTATGTAATAAGTAATATTATATTAACAAACGAATCTTATAAACCCGATGAGGCACGGCTTTGACTAGATAGAAATGACCGTTCCTTATGGATGAACAACCGTTCATCGTATAAGGAACGGTCATTCCTTAGGGATTAACGGCTATTTATTATATAAGGAATGGTAATTCAATGAGGAAGGAATGGTCGTTCCGTAGGAACAATGGCCATTCCGTCATAGAATGACCGTTCCTCATCCAAGGAACGACCATTTCTTATCCAAAGAACGACTATTTCTCCATTCATAATGGATGTTCTCTATGAAATAATAGTCGTTTCTTAGTTCTAGTCGAAAGTTGAAACCATTCTGGTGGTGGCTAGAGAAAGTTTATGAGATACATTTGTCAGCCTATTTTTATTTTTGTGTAATGGAAGTGTTGTATTTTTATCATTATTATTTTTTAGTGATTAGGGGTGTCCAGGTTAGCTCATGTGCATCTTAACTAATCTCCAGGGACCTTGAAATTTTTGATCAAGTAGGAAATCTAATGGCTACCCCTATTAGCACCAGGGAGGGACTCAAACTCAAAACCTCTTAAGTAATACATCAAAGAGTTTTATCGAATCACTCAGTCACTCAAAGATAGTTAGTAAATGGTGTTATCGTCAACACCGTCTGTGACAACTATCCGTTGCAATCCACCGGTCCTAATTAATTATTTTTAATCTTTTAACAATTTATATATTCTTTATTTAATTATTGATTTTATAAAAAATAACTTTAGCATTTATGTTAATAATTATGGTATTTGGACTTCGATAGCAGTTTTTTATTTTTAAAAGTCAACAAAATCAAATTTTGAAATCTTTTATAAAAAAGATTATTCTATAAGTATAGATGCTTTCATATTAGTTTATCAAACATTGTTTATATTATAAATTTAGATAAGAAATTAAATGAAAATCTATCACAATCCGAAGGTTTTAGTAAATCTGTAATAGCACCCATTGGTTTAAGAAATGTATTTTAGCCCTCGTTGGTCTCAGAAATAAAACCCTAACCGTGGTTTGTTTGTTATTTTTTTGTAATGAACTTCTGCTGGATTTGCAAATATCATCCATTTAACCTTTAAATTTACCAAGAATTTCATCAATTTAATCTCAAAAAAATATATTAACTTCTTAACATTGTTGACAGATATTAAGAAAAACATAATTTTCTTCAAATTTAAATAGAACAATCAAATAGTTATTAAAAAAATAAGAGTTATGATCGAATTATTGAAACCAGTGAGTGTTAAACAAACGAAGATTAAAATTGTACTTCTAAAACCGATGGATGTTCACTGTAAGGAAAAAAAAAAAAAAAAACCTAACACTTAGGGAGTGTTTGGTTGGGGGTTATCTGGGATTACTAGAGTTAAGTCATATTATATTACTTGATTATCATGTTTGGTTGTTAAGTAATATAAAATATCGGTAATCTTCAAATGGTAATATTAGAGGTAATCTGATTGTCTCAATTTTCTTAGGTATTCTAAAATTACCATGATTATCTTTTTTTCTTATAAATATATCTCTTATTAATAAAATTTTAGGACAATAATGCCCTTATTTTTTAATTTATTTACATAAATATGACTTTTACTATTTCACCTCAATTAATTAACATTTTAGACAAAATTATCCTTAAATTCAAAACAAATTACAGCCCGCTCAGGCCACCACCCCCACCCACCTGCCACCGACAGTGGCTGGGTTGGTGGGGGTGCTTTGTTGATTTTCCAAACTTTTATTATGAGATTGTTTTTGCTAAGTTTTTAAATGTAAGGGGGTTATAATAATCCAAATAATCAATATTAAAGAGTAATATAATAATAATATTTAATTAGAAGACAATTCAGTAATTTAAATAACATATCTACCAATTTATTCCTCCCAACCAAACATATTAATATAATATACGCACCAATTAACCAAACACATTTTTCTAAAAATTTACAGTAATTTTCAAGGTAATCTATCTTCCTAATAATCAAACATTCTTTGAACTAAACGCTCCATTCACTATAAAAATACAGTGACATTCTTAAAAAAAAAAAAAAAAAAAAAAAAGGAGGGAGGGGGGTAAAGCACGGACGCAGCCCAACAAAGGTCAGTGGTCTCATCCGTTAAAACGAAAGACAGGAGGGAGGGGGGCAAAGCACGGACGCAGCCCAACAAAGGTCAGTGGTCTCATCCGTTAAAACGAAAGACTAGAGCTCTGTTTGGTACACATATTATAGTTGCCCAATAAAGTTAAACACAAAATTTTTGTTTGGTTCACTTATTCTTAAAATATAATTATAAATTATTCAATTTCTTTTAAACCCCTAAATTTATTAATTTAATTAAACAATCCTAATTATTATTACTTTTTAAAATTTGACAAAAATCCCCTAGCAACCCATATTTACCAGATTTCGACCACCACTGCTGGAAGCTGACTAGAATCTGGTGTAATGACGCACTACCGACTGAATCTGGTCAGTAGTACACCGATCTAGTATTTTTCGGCTAGATCTACGGTGGATCTGGCTAGATATACAGCCAAAGATCTGACCGTAGATAGTCGTGAACAACGGCTAAGATATGGTCGTCGTTGACCATCAACGACGACCGTATTTTTGGTCATCGTTGACTGCCAAATGCGATTAGATCTGGCTGTCAATGGCCAGATTTAGCCATAGATCTTGCTGAAAAAGACCATATCGACGCACGACTGACAAGATCTAGTTGGTCATACACCGATACGGTGACTCTAGCCACCCTCCGGCGGTGGTGGCCAACTGTCCATATTTAATGAGTGAATTAGGAGTATTTTTGTTAACTTTGAATATTTTATTATAGGAGTATTTAGTAATTAAATAAGAATAGAAGATATTTTTGTTAATTTTTAAATCCTACGTCATAATATCCACACAAATTTTTTTTTTTAGAATATTATTAAAAGCTATCAGAATAATAATGAACTAAACGACCCTAGGATACTCTACCATATGACCTTTCAAGAACAAAGTGGGCAGCCAAACCAAAGTAAGCCTAAAACATAGCTGGTCAACCCAACACATAAGAACGCACACTCCCAACTATCCTATAATCTCTGTCGCTGTCTTTCTTAGTTTCTCACGAAATGAAGGCGTCTTTGAAGGGCAGGTACGAAACAGACAAGAGCAGCGCCGCTGCTACTCTTGCTCTTAACGCCGGCGATGTCAAGCTCCGAGCCTCTATGACCGATGCCACCGTTGTCAAAGGCCCCAGCTTGAACGGCTTGGTTCTAGCCGTCGAAAAACCTGGCTTCTTCATCATTGACTACAACGTCCCTAAAAAGGTAACCATAAAAAGAAAATTTATGTACCAACGGCTCGTTTGGTTGCCTAGAAATGGCAAAAAAGTGATTTAAGTCGATTTTTTTTTTAATTACAATAGACGTGAAGAGGTTGTTATAGGAGTGCAAGCATTTCTCTAATGGTTTTCTCTGTAACCATGCGGAAGTTTAGGGTTTCATGATAGCAATTTATGTTAAATATAATTTGTCATGCATCTGTTTGATAGTCAGAAAATTGCAGGAAGATTAGAAGAAACTTTTAAATATATCGACTATTCTGTTTGTGGTTGAATTGTCTGTTTATTAACTCACTTGACGAGCAAAATGTTCTTAATTGTATCAATTTTTTATATTGTGGAGTGGAACAGGATTTTAGATTTCAGTTTATGAACACGGTTAAGGTTGCGGAAAAACCCTTGAATCTCACTTATATTCACAGTAGAGGTGACAACCGGACAATAGTAGATGGAACTCTTGTGGTTGATTCAGCTAACAAGGTATCAGCTAATCACATGCTTGGTTCGAGGAATTGCAAGTTGAAGTATAGTTATGTTCATGGAGGAGTGACTACGTTTGAGCCATGTTATGATTTGGCAAAGAATTCATGGGATTTTGCTGTGTCACGAAAAGTTTATGGCGATGATGTGTTTAAAGCTTCTTATCAGACATCAAGCAAGGCTTTGGCGTTGGAGTGGTCAAGGAATTCAAAGTTGAATGGAAATTTTAAGGTAAATGGATTGTTGTTGTTTTACTACTTCTCTGATTGTTTGTTGGGTCTTTCTTTTTGCATTCTTAATTGGAAATCGAGTGTTTGATTGATTGTGAGGTGAGCTTTTTTGCTATATATTTTACACATCAAACAGTCCGATCTTAATTTGACCAGATGAATATAATGAGTTTTGGGATATGAAATGGCAATCGATTCCAGATCACATGTATAGCACTTGTCTTAGAGTATAGGTGATTTCTGGTGCACAGTGTGTGTGGTGTGGTTAATGATTTGTTGCAAACTTCGATTTGGTTTTGGTAGTTTTCCCATGTAATCAGATGTCCTTTGGCACATTGCATGGGGCCATATTATTACCATGGAAGATTAACTTAATTGTAGAGTTTATGTTGACTTTATTTTAACGTGTAATAAAAGTTTATGTCATTGAAGCAAACGACTCGTCTGGAGTTTCTTAATCACACCCTGACAGGTCATTATAGGCTTATGATTTTTGAGTTGTGTGACTTTTTCTTTTTTGTATTTTTGTGTGGGAGTTACTTTTTTAAGAGAGGTCTTCCAGGACTGTCCAGATTTTGATGGTCCAGAGGACATCAGGAAGCAATAAGGATAAGGAGAATGTTTTTCTTGCAATACACATTGATGTATGAAAATTGTATTAGGGAGTTGAATTGGATTCTGTTGGGGAATGCTATTACTTAGATGAGTTTTGGAAATTGTTGACACTGGATTTGTGATGATATTGATGATGTGAGTGATGCTGGTGAAAGTGCTATCACTGATGATTGGTGGTACAGATGTTTGACAAGGTTAGGTTGGTCGCAAAATGACAGGCTGTGGTGGCGATTTTGGTACTAGTGTTTAGTTGGAACAGTTAGTCATTGTATTAAAGGGAAGCTGTTTACACATGGCTGATTGCACTGGTAGTTCCATGGAGAGGGGTAGGGTTTGGTCAAATGTTTAGCACCTGTGGGTTCACCTGCAATTCAAGTGGTAAATATTAATCTCTCAGATGTGTAGGAACTATAGATGTTCACATCCCATAAATTTAATTTATGTTTTTAAAAAAAAATTTAAAAATTGAATTGAACTTCCAACTGTTTAATTAGCTGGTGGTTGTACATTACTTTCAGCTGTTTGAAGGCCTAGTAAGTTGTAAGATTGATTTCCTTATTTCTGATAAAGTAATGTCTTAACTTCGATTTTTTATTTCTTCCAGATAACTGCAGCCCTCAATCTGGCTGAGGAATTACAAATCCCAAAATTAAGTGCCGAGAGCACATGGAATTTTGAGATGTAACCTATTCTTTAGTAATCTCTATTGTTTCATTTACCCCTGGAGATTTTATACAGTATTACATCCTCTATTTATGTTTTAGCTGCTTACCCTGATAGTGACAGCTTGATGGAATTCATTGTTACATGGCTACTTCCTCGTATTGAATCATAAATGCAGTCTATTGTTTCAAAATACAAATATTACATTTTGGCAGTGCTGATTTTTATTTGTTATGCAGTCTGTATGGAGATAGAATCAATAATTATTTCCTTGATTTTTCTGAAGAAATAAAGGATATATGGGATTGGAAATGCCGGATATATGTAAGCTGTGTCATCTTGAAGTCGATAATTTATGTTTGAATGTCAACCTCCAATTTTAATCCGTGCTCATGTTTACGCGTTAATTTGTTAGTTTTTGTTCTTTTTCCTCCAAACCCACACTAATGTTCTAGACCTGTACCTGAGGAACAGGACCATTGCAAACTCTCTGAGCCTGAGGTTCGATGTTAGATTTTGTGGTCTTAGCCTAAGGTGGACGTGAACTTTCAGGGAGTGCTAAATGCTAACTACTTCAGCCCTCAACTGTGCTTAAATGAGAACATTACTGTTGTTTGTCTTATTTCTATTCATCCCAAAATACACGACAGACTCCTAAAGCCAATGTGATGGAATGTCCGTGAGAGTTATTGAATTTCACCGTATGCTCATTATTAATTATGTATGCCCAATCGATGGCACAAACTCCAATTTCAATTTTCAAGGAACTTTAAAGTTATGGGCCTTAGCTTTATGATGGTCTTTGTTTCCTTGTATACCAGTAACGGCTCTTGCGTTTCAGGAAGAGGGTGAGAATTTTATGCAATTTGATAAAAATGATTTAAAAATACAAAATAAAATTTAAAAATATCGCAAGCCTAGTAATAAGTTAAGTGCCCATTCAATTTAGGCCAAAATGACTAATGCTCCGCAAGCGCCGTTTGATGCACTACACGAGCAGTCCCCACCAATACATCTACTAAGTTTGGCGGGAATCACCATTTCCGAAACAAAAGGCGATAGCCTTCCCACAAAAATTTCAAAAGATTTGCCGCTTAAAATTCCATTCTCTACAAGAAGATCCCTATCCTTAAAACCTCCTCATCCGGTAAAATTAATAATACCATCATACTCATTTATACTTTACCATTCGCATCGGCAAATAGCAACAAAGATGGAGGGCAGCGACGATTTTGAATCTTTTTCGCTCATCGAAGCACCTTCCTCTCCAGTCCCGGAAAGAAAGCTAAAACGATTGAAGAAAGCTAAAACTCTCGTAGAGAATTCACCTAAATTTGAAGCCCTGAATTTCAATAAATCAAATATCCAAGATTCCGAGCAAGAGAAACTTCAAACCCTAGATTTGGAGACGTCAACTGGCCAAGATGAATTCGAAACCTTAGATTCCAAGATATCAAATATCCATTGTGTCAAGGAAGGGGAACTTGAAACCCTAGATTTGGAGAAGTCAACTAGCCAAGATTTGGAGGAATCCAATTCTGGATCGCAGTCCGGATTGGAGGTTTTTGAAGATGAGAACGGATTGGATTCCGGTGCTGATAGTTTAAGTATGCAGGAGGATGTATCTGGTGCTAAGAGGACTTTAAAATTTGATTCTTTGTCTGAGGAATTTGATGGAAGAAGCCAAGATCAATTTGATGTCATGGAAATGGAAAAGGAAAAGGAAAGTGAGGATATGAGAGAGGATTATTGTGAGAAAAAACGACTACATTCTGATGCATTTGGGGATAAGAAGGATAAAAAGAAGAGAGTCAAGAGTGTTGGTGATGATGAAAAGCCTAAATCAACTGTTGTCTTAAAAAGAACTGCTAAGGTAGTTTTATTTTAATTTTCCGGTAATTATTATTATTATTTTGGTTAACTGATGTCAGTGGCCAGTTTATGAGCATCTCGACTAATCCTTGTGGAAAACCTAACCGCTGATTATTTTTTCCAAAGACGTTTTGGAGTTTTAACTTTTAGTTGCTATAATTTTTATAGGAGAGAAGAGAACAGCTAAAGCAACTCCGTGCTGAGTCTCAGAGACTGTTGCGAGGTAGCATTGGAACTCACTAATCAGCGGCTTTAGTTATTTGAATGGTTTAATTTACACTTATAAAATTTGTGTTCTTTCTGTTTAGAAACTAGAGATGCAGCTTTTAAATCTGTTCCCCTTGTTCAAAAGCCTATATCTTCAGTTTTAGAGAAAATTCGGCAAAGGAAGTTAGAGGCTTCAAAAAAGTGAGTGATCTGTCTATATAGGTTTTGCGTTGGGTTTCACTGTTCACTATTTATGTTTAATTTTAACCATTTATTTTTTCTCACCTAAATTTCTGGTGTCAGGTCTCTCAAATTGAGCAAAACTTCTTTTATTGATGATGATGATGATGGTGATGATGATGATGATGATATTTTAAGAGAGGTCGGGGTCAAGGCTGGTTTTGAAATTGCCCACAATGAGGATAGAGGAGACGAGAAGTCCCCTAGAGCTGTGAGTGAAAAAGCTATTCCCCATCCTGCTGATGTGGAGAGTAGTTTAGGTGTCTTCTTTACCGATGCATCTAACAGTACTGCACATCCATCAAGTCATGAAATTATCCCCCCTCAGATGGTGAGTTGCATTTTGTGATGTAGTATTGATTCTTCTTTTACTGAAGATTCAAGCTATAGGCATAGTATTTTCTCAGTTCACACTGCAACCCTAGCGAAGAGTTAATTCTTGGCTAGATATTGTGATAACTGTGTGACCTAAATACTTTTGGGAGTTCATAAATGATGTTGCCTCACCCATAACGCCATAATAAGCTATTTTTCTTGTTATGGGTTATAGAACTAGTGATGCTTGCTTCCTTATAGAAGTCGATTAGCAGCATTTTGGGGACTGAAGAAAAATACTATATCTGTTATAATTCACAAGCATTTTGGTCAAATGCTATATCAAATTATAGATCACAAAGTGTTCTGGTCATAAGTGTTTATCCTTTAAATGTGTCACCTTAGCTAGGTTTTAATTTTATTTAAATGTCAATGATAATCCATTCTTGAGATTTACTGTTACTCATATACTTCAGGCTGTGGATGAGGAACCCAAGCAAGCATTTCGAGCTCCTATTGATGATACTCAGGTTTATTTTTGTTATCTCTTATTTATTTTTATTTTATGTTGAAGTTTGGGACTTTCCACTCCACTGGACTGCGTGTCATATATAGTTTCTTCATTATTGCATATTGAAGGACCTCTTTGCTGATTCACAAATAAGTGGTTCCAAAGATGAGCTCCCAGATGAGAAACCCAACAGTCCTCTTGAAGAAGTTCTGGCACCATCCTTACTTGCTTTGAACCTGAAGCTTGATTCTGTTCTTCCTGAGGATGAGTAAGTGTTCTACAATTGTTTTTCCTTTTGCTTTTGCAGTCATGCAAAGCAACTTCATTGACTTTATGTGGGTTCATGATTTACTGAATAGTTTCACCATCGTTGATAGGATATGTTTGTGGGACCTTGATTGTTTTGTGTTTCTGCAGATATTACTGTGTTTCTCTGGAACTAACATCTATTATCATCAACATTTTTTCTTTCACTATTAATTTTTTATTTGGATCTAGAACTACATGCTTTTCTTGCAAGTATCAATTGTTAGCCTTGAAGATGAAAGTATGCATATTTTGGAGCTCATTTTAACTGTTAGATCTGAATTTAATGGGGTATTATTGGCCATGGGATTGAGATACATGCAATTATCTCATTTTCATACAGTGGAGAGATGTAATCATTTGAACATTTTCTCGGCACTTCTAGATGTCAAATGTTCCATTCTGAAGTTTGAACTATTAGTTATTGTTAATTTTATAGCTGATTCACTATCTTCTGCAGTTCTGAAGAAGAGGATAATGACAAAGAGAATATCAATCCTTCTCTAGAAAAATTGGATGGCTTGTCTTTGTCTCCAAATGGTGACCCTGTTAAAGCATTTGTTGACGATGAAGCTGAAGAAGAAGATGACAGTGATAATGACCTATTGCGTTTCCAAGATAATGAAGAAGATGAGGATATTGATGATGTTGAAGAACTCAAGGATATGATAGCAACTGAATATAAAGAAAAACCAATTGACACTGAAAGGCGCAATGAACTCCATCAAAAGTGGCTTGAGCAACAGGATGAAGCTGGAACAGAAAAACTTTTGCAGAGATTTAAATGTGGTTCAAAAGAGATAGAAAAAACTTTGTTGGAAGAAGAAGAAGAAAAGGAAGAGGAAAGTGAAGAAGACAACGACGAGTTTGGTAATGAAGATACTGAAGATGTAGCTCCAGCAAATGTTGTGAGAATGAATCTAAGAAAAGTAAAGGAAATGATTCCTCAAATGTTTACAGATAAGGATGATGCATACATATCATCTGATGATGAAGAAACTGAAAAGAGTATAGTTAAGCAGTGCCTGTTTGAGAAATCAGTGAGTTTTCAGCAGTTCATCTCATTTTCTTATTTAAATTTTTTATTTTTTGAATATTGTGTTTACTGGATTGAATATTCTGCAGTCCATGTGTTTTAAATGACTAAATATGTTTTATGCTTTTATTCTCAACTTTTATGTTGTTGTGTATACAAAACTAACTAAACAGTATGATACAGGAAGAGCAGGCTTCATTTTTGTCACCGGCAGAGGATAAAGACTCTAAAGAAGTTTTTAGTCTCATAAAGAAGCTGAATATTGTGCCTGACTCTAGGAGAAGGGTAAAAGCATCAGGTAGAAGTAGTAATATCCTTTCCTCATTTTTTAGTCATAGCGATGACCTTTATGTCACCAAGTTCACTTGTTTTGTGGTACATATTGTTCTCTGAATTTTTGTTTTTCATTTTCTTGCAGCTCTTTCTGAAATGTTGCTTATAGGACACAAGGCAGTGTCGTCAAAGGTAACTAGTTTGCATAGTTGGATGCTGCATACAAAGTTGTTTGGTTACTTTGATCCATTAATAGGCTCTAATAAAATTATAATTTGTTGAATGCAAATTTTCAAACAACACCATTTTTACCTGGTTTTGGCCCCAAGTTGCATCTGAAATTTGCACCCTTCATGTTCTGTCTGTGATAGTGTGTTTGATCCTTGTATCCTTTCTATTCCAGTAAGCCCCATAATATGAATTTTGTGTCATGTAGGAATCTTCTGTTTCATCTTACACAGATTATCAGTTGGCATCAAGTTGAATCCCTTATTGTCATTGCCGTCCTTCATCCTTTATCTGCTTACTGCTTATTGTATAGAAATTAAAATGCCTTTACACTGTTTTATCTTATGCTAGGATCTACCTTCATGATTCTTTTAATATAGATGTCTCTTAATATACTATAATAAAATTGGAATTTTATCAAGTGAGTTGTATCACTGCCATTTGAAACAATGGATTGGGTGTTATTTGATGCCATTAACTGTAATTTTGCCATTGGAAAATGTTTCAGCCATCTTTCCTAGGTCGAGGAGCAAGCCATTCTCTTCCATTACCTAAGAAGCATGGCTCAAGCATGATGCGCTCTTTTATCTTTGAGCGAGATGATAGCAATAGCAAGAGTACAATCTCAGTCTCAGAAGGCTCTTCAGAAACGGTAGGCTCTATTAAAAAGCACAGGAAGCTGACAAATTTTCTGGTTTTATTTTATTCTGCTTCCAATAAAAAAATTGCACCAATTTTAATTATTTGGTTTTTAATGGTGATATAGAATCTCATTTGATGTCTGATGGGCAAAGAAAAAAGGTCTTGTTTCACTTCAAGAGTAGCTCAATCTACCTTTCTAAATATTGCAATGCAACTAGAAATTGGCTACCTATCTTAGCTATCTATAATTTCCAGTTATAGTTGTGTTGACTTTTGAAACTTTTAATGCTGAAATGCTAGTATGCCCTTGTCTAAATATCAATTATTTTTTGGTTCCTGAAATGCAGATTCAGAGGGAGAATCAACCTACAAAAACTGCCTCAACTAGACTTTATAATTCACAAATTAAATCTAGTACTCAAAATACAAAAGCTGCAGCACAAATGAAATCAGGCACTGCATTATTTGAAATATTGAGACGTTCTTCATTGCAGTCCAGCCAATGCACGCAGGACAGTGTGGCTAACTACACCGAATCAGTATTAGCTACGTTCAGATTGCAGAAGCCAATAAAGAAAGAACCTAATATGTCTACAAGAACACTTTAAGGTTCTTTGCCCATAAAGTGTTCTAAATTATGTTTAATGTTGATGGTTTATAGTCAGGTAATGTATCTGTTGAACACTAAATGTAGAAACGAAAAAGCAAGACGGGAGCACATGATGCCTCTTGTTCATCATTGGGATGTCTTGACTGCTTTCCAATTACACAGAAATGCCCTGATAGTTTTATATTTGAAATGCTGGATTATATTGCTTTTGAATCGTTATTCGAAATGATCTGTTAATTTTGGTCTTCTGGGTGACACTGTAAAGCGACTAGGAGCACATTTTGGCAGTCAAATTTGCTGAGATCTGGTGATGCCGTCTCTGTTCTACTCTACAGGTTGTCTTCACGTCAAAGATATCCATTTGGTTTTCTTTTGAGCATGTCGATCAGCGGGGGAATAGTTTCATATTTAGGCGTCTTCTATGAGTAGAGTATATTTCTCTTTTGCCCAGCATGCCATGTGTTATACATTTTGCAGTCTGTTTTGTCAATAAGAGATCATTATGAAGTGGTCGGTATCTTGGCTCCAACTAATGGTCGGCGCGGATTATAATTAAACTCTCTTCTAGAGTTAACCTTCAGTATTTGAGGCTTGGCGGTGTGCCCATGAGGTCGGGTAGAAAGTGGTGAGAGTTTACGGCTGCTGATGGATGGAAACATGAGAAATCCATGCGTTTATACCGCACAATCATCCTGTTGCACTTTTTGTGAAGGGCTAAAGAGTGGAAAAAATGTCCCCTCCGAAAGCAAAACCTTGGGTAATCACGCACTAGGTCAACAATATCATACCATATGAGAAAAAACAAATGAAATGTGAAAGGGGTGTAAAATGTGAATTGTTTAATGGTTTTCATCTAAGAGAAAAAAAAGTTGATTTTTAGCATCAGGTTTTTTTTTTTAATAAAAACAGAAATCACCTTAGGATGTAAGAAAGAATTGAAGGTGAGGACCGCAACAAGATCAGTATGTTCATGTTGTGTTTTGTTGACTAGATAGGACGGAATTATCCTGCTGACTTTTGTAAATCTTTGTCAAAACTCCACGTGTCGCTTAAGTATGAGTTTGGTTATAAATGAATGACAAACCGACCTGTCTAAGTGGTTTCACCATAATTCTTACCAAGGCACATAGTTAATATTAATTTCGCCCGAAAAACCAGAAGTTCTTGCCCTAATTCAACGTACAGACCCAAGTCAAAACCTTACAATTCTGCTCCAGCTCTCTAAAATCCCTACTTCCGATTCTTCAAATCTAACATAGATTCTAGCTTTATATTCCTTATCCAGATCCATAGTTTGCTAAGATCTACAAGTCACAATGGAGCAACACTGAATCCAAATTCTTGAAGCTTCTTCAAATGGCAAATCCTAATAAAGGCAAGTTGTTTTTGCTCTGTTTTCTCTTTATTTTCGCTTCTTCACCTCATAATAAAATTCTGGTCACCTCAATCCAACACGACCACCAATATGAACCTGAGAATACTTCAAGTCAAACTGAACTTAATTTCAGTCAACAAGATTTGTTATTACATAGACTTGAAGAGGTAGTGAGAAACCTTAGTGAAATAGTTTCTAAGTTAGAATCTAAACTATCGGAGTCTTCCAAAGTTTCATCTCTTGATGAGAAGCAGAGTCTCGAGAGTTTAAGATTAGCTCTTCAAGAAAAAGATATTATTGATCAAAGAAGACACGAGGATCAAAGATTATGTAAAGATGTTAATGAAGAGGATAAGATTCGAGATGGAGGTAGAGCGAAAGCGGTTTCAGTTACAAAGTACAGTCCATTTTGGTCTGAGAGGTTTCAATTTGTTTCAGCTGTGAAATTGGAATCTGATCCCACTTGTATTAACATCTTGCCATTTCGTGATTACGAAGGTCATAGCAAATATATCGCTGTTGGTGATGATAAAGGGAGGGTTTATGTGTTTTTGAAAAATGGGGATATCTCAGTTGAATTTTATACCATGTGTGATTCACCCATCACTGCCATGGTCTCGTATTTGTCAGTTTATAAGAATGAGAGTGTCGTAGTCACGGGGCATCAAAATGGTGTGATTTTGATCCATAGGGTTTATGAGAGATCGAATGGAGAAGATTGGAGTTCGCTTGTAATGCAAAATGTTGGAAAATTTGTTGCGGCTGAAAATGAAGGGGAGCGTTTGGCTATAACTATATTGGAAGTGCATTATATTGGGAGAATGAGGTATATACTGTCCACAGATTTTAGTGGAAAGATTATGGTGTTCAAAGAAAATGGAATGATTCATGGTTCTGCAATGCCAACAAGTAAGCCACTTGTGTTCTTAAAACAAAGACTTCTATTTCTGACAGAGAGTGGTGCAGGATCATTGGATTTGAGAACCATGAAAGTTAGGGAATCCGAATGTGAAGGGTTAAATCATTCTCTCGCACGCAATTATGTTTTTGATGCAACAGAGAGGTCAAAAGCTTATGGGTTTACATCAGAGGGGGATATGATTCATGTATTGCTTTTGGGGGATGTGATGAACTTCAAATGCAGGGTTAGATCCAAGAGAAAGTTTGACATGGATGAGCCGCTTGCTTTTCAAGCAATTAAGGGTTATTTACTTACTGTTAATGAAGAAAAAGTTTTTGTGTATAATATTTCAACTCAGCATTATGTGAGGAGCGGTGGCCCTCGACTTCTTTTCTCAGCTGGTTTGGATGAGATCAGATCATCATTTCTGAATTATCAATCAATGGATGTGGATGTGGATGCTGAGAGAAGAAGGGTGATACCCTTAATAGCTAGTGACCGTGAGAAGCTTCTTGTTCTCGGCCTTGGAGGTGGGTATGTGGGAGTTTATTGCTCTAAACTTCCAGTTTTCAAAGGAGAATCCAATGCTATGCTGTGGACGAGCCCTGTGTTCTTCTTTATACTTTTCTTGTTCGGAGCATGGCACTTTTTTGCTAAGAAGAAAGAAGCGCTTACTTCATGGGGACCAGATGACCCTTTTACCTCCGCATCTGCCACTGCTGGAGCTCCGATGGTCTCGAGTTCTGGAGACAGATCATTTGTAGATTCTTCTTCAAGAAGTGCTGATATAATGGATTTGAGGACTGGTGGTCTGAGGGGCCCATCAAGGAGATACCCCTCTCCTTCACGGTATCCTGGTGGATCAACAAGTTCGTTTAGGTCGAGTTCTGCTGATTCCAACCCTAGGCCTCCTGTTGATCCCAATTATAGATCAGGTTCAGATCTAAAGTACAGGGGCTCAACCCTGGAACCTGCAGGCTTTTCTACAAGAAGAGAGACTTTATATGTAAACAATCAAGGTGTGGATGATAGCAATTGATGACTTGTGAAATCAATTGCTTTGAACTGTTTTTTGGGTAAAATTTCTCTTAACTTTTACTCCCATGAATCAAGAGTTCATTTTAGATTTTCTTAAATTGTTCATTTGGCAATTTGGAGTCCTTGAACTTGCAATGTTGTAACTTAGTTTCTAGTTCAAAGAAAATAATGAAAAATTTTACTAGCATGTCTTTTGCCGCTTTTCATTTTAATCCACCAATAGGTTATATACAATAAATCAATAAGAACAACATCAAGTTGCTTCATCAATGAAGTTACCTAGATTATTCCTTGTTTATTAGTAAAAATCAAATCACTTAATCACCATTCCTTCCTTTGATACAGCTGAATGGTATAATGGCTTGGCACTGTATATCGCATTTTGAATCAGCTGACTATTATAGGAAAGCATCTTTTGTCGTTTGTTTTTGCACCATGGTTTTAACAATTTAGAGTTTCTGCTTACCCCTCATTGATCTTACATTAAGAGTAACTATTTACAAATGTTATGAAGTTTTCTACGTTGCTTGAAGAACCGTAATTAAATTTCTGAAAATCTCCAGAGATGGGAGATCTTTACTACCAGAAGTTCAGCCTAAGTTGGAACCAACCAATGGTTCATGGCCCTAACCATTCTGTCCAAAACTAACCTTGAATACCATTTCTGTTCGGCTACAAGAGAGTTGAAAGAGGGTGGTGGCGGTGGATGCAGTTGAGGAGTGGGCTTCCTCCGGATGATTATTAAGGCCTAAACTTACAGAGAGAGCCCAGCCCATACTTACAGAGAGAGCCGAGCCCATTATATTACCTAGTGGTGATTATGGAACATTTAAAACGTCTTCAAATATAATTTATATGTAGATTACGTAGTGATAGCGGAAGCAGCCGGGAGAGTTATGATGCAATGCATTAATTATTAGAAAAATGCTATCCTTACAAAGACTCATACAAAGAGGGTTACAAAGTGACATCATCCAGAAATAAAAAACAAAGAAAAAATAAAAAAAGAGAAAGGGAGAGAGAGAGAGAAATCATAAAAATCAAAGGTGAAGATTATATTTGTATACCCTCTTTATATATGTCTTTATAAAACTAGCATTGCTCTAATTATTATTCTTTTAGAAAAAACTGTTTGACATTCTGTTTGCTAAAGGTGCGATCCTGACCGCACCCAAGTTGCAATATTAATTTTCTGAGTGGCCTAAGCATTATCCAATTCCAGAATTTCGAAGCACACACTTTGTGGTCCCAAATTAGTTTAAGAGTAAACGACATGTTCCCACCAAGGTTTAGTGAAATGACAAGTTACCACCTTTGATTTCAAAAATTCTAGATTCTTATCCTTAAATTAACGCTCCGTTTGGTTCACTTTTTTATACTTTTTAGAAAAGTTTTTGAAAAAAAGTTAAATTGAGTGGGTATTACGATGTAGGATTTGGAAATAAATAAAAATATTCCCTATATTTGTTTATTTACAAACACCATTTATGTTTGTTATTTATTAAATACCCCTATAATAAAATATTAAAAGTTAACAAAAACACCTCCAACCCACCTATTAAATATGGACAGCCGGCTCTACCGCCGGAGGGTGGCCGGAGTCGTCGTATCGGTGCATGACCGGCTGGATCTTGCTGGTCGTGCACAGATATGACCTTTTCCGGCCAGATCTACAGCTAGATCAGGCCATTGACGGCCAGATTTGACCGTATTTTTTTGTCAATGACAACCAAAGATACGGTCGTCATTGATGGTCAACGACGACCATGTGTTGGCTGTCGTTGACAACTGGCTATGGCCAAAAGATCTGGCCGTCAACCGTTAGATCTTTGGTTTTAGATCTGACTTTTTTCGATCAGATCCATCGTAGATCTGATCGAAAAATACTAGATCGATGCACTACCGACCAGATTCAGCCAATAATGTACCATTATACGAGATTTCGACCATTTTTCGACCGTGATGGTCGGAATCTGATAAATGTGGATTGCTGGGGTTTTTTTGTAATTTCTAAAAAAATATTTAAGGGTGTTTAATTAAATTAACAAATTTAAAAGTTTTAAAAAAAATTAAATAATATTGTGAGTTTTTGTAATTTTATTGTTT